CCCATGCGAGTGAACTCAGACACGCTAGGGAAGATTCGCGAGGGCACACTCAGTCCTGGCGGGCTCCACTCTATTGCAAGCACCAGCCATCTCAACTCAAATCCTATCCGCACGCTGGGGGCTGTCGTCGTTGCCCAGCCTGATCGCATCTATGCCCACTTTCCACGAAGATCGCCCACAAAATCTCCCACAAAATCCCCCACCAAGTCAGCAAGACCCGACTATGTCCAGCCCGACGTGTTCGACGACGGGCCTATTGACTTCGCGCCTGTAGGCGCTGGCTCCCCGCAAGCGCCTACAGCAATTTGCTAATTGGCAGAAGATTATCCCTGAGTTGATACCAACTCTTCAGCGGCTCATGCTCACCACAAAATCGCTCCACTCTGTCGCTGGACTTGCGGTCGGGAACGGTCCGGCGTGCCACTGCCTGAAGCGTCGACTCAAAGTCCTGGTGATCCGTTGGTCAAGTAAGCGCTCAAGCGTCTTTAACCCATGTCACTAATGTGTTTCACTTAGTTATTGAAGATATAGAGGTCTCCTCATGCCACTGTCCCGCCTCGAGTGCACCCATACTGCTGTTGGAAGGCGGCTTGTTTGCCTGCAGCCCCTGCAACCCGACTCTCGCTGTCGACATTGAAGTTTTACAATTTTTCATGGAGCTTTCGCTCCATATCGCCCCCAACAATACGGCCTTCTGCCACACGCTCGAGAACGTTCTGGCATCGCGGGGTTACCAAATGCCACGCGGGGTATGTCCATACTTGATCAGTTCTTTCAGCGCTAACTTTACTCTCAGGAGCGCTTGCGCATTCGCTTCGGCAATTGTTTGACGTGGTTCACACAACTGGTCGTCATGGCCGACAATGTTGTCGACGAGGCCCTTGCGCCGGCGCGCGCCATAGCTCGGGAGCGACTTCAGGCAGCGACAAGCCCCCAACCGGATTTGGTCACCCGGGCCGACTTACCCGGTGTCGATCCCCCAAACGCCGATCCCCCGCACGCCGATCCCCCGCACGTCAATCGACCTGTCAATCAAAGCAATGTTCCGATCATCACTCAAAGCGGTCCGTCAACTCCGCGCAGGCGGCCCGCCGCCGATAGTGACGATGAGGATAGTCTCCCTCCGCCAAATCCCTTCCCAGTGCCCCCTCCGCGCACCCGACCCAGCGACCACTTAATCAGCTGCTGCCCCGCTTGCTTCGAGGGACTACAACATGATCCCAGTCAAACATTCGACATCGCTATTGCCTTAGACGGCAACTTCACTCAAAAACGATTGAAGCGAGGCGGCGCTCTTGATCCGCCGCGGACACACCCTCGCTCTCGGTTTGTCCCATCAGAGCGAGTCCACGCTATGGAAAACCATGTCGATGGTGTCCGCGATGGTCCCCAAAGACCGCAACGCAAGAAAACCCATGTGGAAGAACCGGAGGACGGCTACGAAGGGGATATGAAGGTCCCTAGCTCGGCCCTCGATGCCTGTGGTGCTTCCTTTAAGGCCGCGGATGAGTCCCGAGTCAAGGGCAGCACCAAGTTCTTTGCCCAGACCGGGTTGATGGGCCTCGTATGCCGCCACGATAACTTACTCTTCGTGGTTGATATCGAGACCCCTGGCGAGCGGCAGCATTATCCATTGACGCTTCTGGAGATGTTGTTCCAGCATCTCCCCCCCAACATCATAGTGGGCGCGCTGTATGATATCGCTTGCGCGCTGAAGCGATCATGCATCAAGTTCGACTTCCTCTCCCGGTACAAACATCGGCTAGTTTGGGCCGTGTCCGTGTTCCACACGCGTTTGCCCATATCTGGGCGTGCCAATTGATCTATCATCCCCAGAAGTGCATTGGGTTTGGTGGCTCTAACGGCGAGGGCAGCGAGCGAGTCTGGTTCAAGCTCAGCCCGGCTGGTTGCGTATCTCCGTGTGTGTGGTGTATGTATTTATGTCTCGCTTTCCACTCAGCATATTGATTTGGTTTCAGTATCACCAACGGCACTTCGTCATTGACATGCAGGCTGGACGGGACGCTGAAGAGGTGATCAACGGCATCGCGGACTGGCTTCGGCGTCGGTCGTTCTTATACCAGCGCCAGTTCCAAGAAGCAACAGCAGTTCTTTCTGCGAGCAACCTCTCAGAAGATGAACTCCAAAAGGAATGGGACCTTCAAGTCGCCTATCAAACTCGGCCCGTTACAAGTTCGTTTCTCCCATTGATTATAGATAATACTGACTTTGAATCACAGGGCGCTCCAAGACCGCTATCAGAACAGCGATCGACTCAGTCTTTGCTGCCGACCGCGTGATCCTCCAGCTGGAGAAACGCCTGGAAACATCCACGCAGCAGCTGGCTCAGCGCAACCTATCTGCCGAGGAGAAACTGGCGCTTACCGACAAAATTGAGACTCTAACTGCTGCAAAGCAGAAAGAGGTCCTTCTTCGCGACAGACTCAATCGCCAACTGGGCACAACGAACGCAAAAGCCCTCAAGATCATGAAGCATCGAGATTATTACTCGGCTCGCTACCAAGCCCGAACCACGAAGGACCAGTTGGTCCGCAAATTAACCCAGCGCAAGATGGAGTTTGATCCAATCGAGCGGTCTGTGCGCCGCTCCACCAGTGGTACGTCCTTGGTTTTAGTGGCCAGACAGCGCTTACCTTTGTCCAGAACAAAAGAAGAATGAACACGCGTCTTCAGCCATCAAAAACGGGAGCCAACTATCAAGAAACTTATCAAACAATACAACAAGGCTCAGAAAATTATCAGCAAACTGATTCGAGAGAAGAAGGCGCCACCCAACGCCATTGCCCCCGTTAAACTCAACGCGGAAAAAATATTCGAGCTGGATATTGACGACATCATCTGGCTCGATGTGGGGCTTGATGATGCCGAGGGTGATGTGCCTCGCGCGTTGCTTGATGCGGAGCTCCGTGCTTCGATCCGAGCGATGCTGCAAAAGCAGCGTTCCGTGGAAGAGCTTCATCGCGCCACGGCGGGAGCATGGCCATCTGTTGGCCCATCTGGAGGTCGAATGGCGCGCTGTCGAAACGGCCCTCGCCAGCTGCGATGATCCACCCCTCAAATACCAACTCGAACGCCGACGCGAGAAGGTTTTGAACCTCCATGTCGTCTGGGGAGACGCGCTCACCAGTTTATCGCCACCTCCGGGTGCCCGCGGCTGTCGGCACCTCAGCAATCAATTCCGGAAGCCCGGGTTCTACGGAGCTTCCCGGCATGGAGGGACACCGAGGAGGATAACTTATCAGACGTGTGGGAGCGAAGGAGAAGAGGGCGAGGATGACGATCCAATGTTGATCCCAATCTTGAGCACATTAGAAGTGGCAGATAATCGGGTACATGAGGAGGAGAATGATGGTGAAGATGATGTGGATGATATGGACGATGTATTCTTGTAGCGTTCAACAGGGATTCACTAAGCCAGACGCGCCTGCTTTTTTTTAGCGTGTGTTTGATAGGTCACGTGACCGCGTCTGCCGAGGCCAACGACTTAAGTTCAATGTGCTGAGAAGAATATGTGTGATGACCAAAGCTAGACATGCCCGCGCGATGCATTGATGGCCGTGTGCATGCAGGCCTTTACGATGGGCCAAGCCAGACACGGATGCGACGCGACGCGATGCATGTGACCATGGAGCGGATCATGGATGCATCCATGGAGGCGGGAGGGCGGGCATGGATGGTACCATGGAGGCGGGAGGGCGGGCATGGATGGATGGTACCATGGCGGGAGGCGGGGCCAGTGGATGGTACCACAGGGCGGGCATGGATGGTACCACAAGGGCGGGAAGGCGGGCATGGATGCTACCACGCGCCTGTGGTAGCACCATCCTGCGTCCGGGAGGGAGCGCGTGGTACCATCCATGCGCGCCATGGATGCGTCCATGCCGACTCGTGGGTGATACCACGTCCCATGCATGGATGCTCCCAAGGCGCGTGGATGCACCCACGCGTGACCGTGGTTGCGTCCACCCCGTGACCGTGGTACGATCCACGCGACCAGATGGATGCGACCACAGTGGTATTGATACCACCCATGGATGCATCCATGCTGGGACAATACCACCCATGGATGCATCCATGCATGGTATCAAGCCCAGCCATGGATGCATCCATGGCCCCATCTGCCTGGCAGCATGGATGCATCCAAATCGAACATGCCGGTCGGCTTGATGCCATCAGTGATGGCCGATCGGCTCCCCAGCGCCCAATACTCTGCAAAGTCCAAGGGGTGAGAGCATGGCCAACTGGTTGGGGGGCATGTAGTCCATACTCCACACATACTGTACATCACTTTCCATGTACTCTAGGCTGCCTACTGCCCATCTATCATGCCTGAACTGCCAACTAATGAAAAGCCAGAAAAATGAAAAAATATTCAAAACTCCATAGTCTGCCCAGCAAATCTCATGAGACTTGGCCTGTCTTGAAGAGCAAAAATATCTCATTTTTCTAGTGCTAAGCTGACAACCCAAAAGCCAAGGCAAGAGCATGGCAGGGGTATTTTTCCCAAAATATGCAAAAAACATCCTGCAGTCGAACCAGCGACTTCCCCGTCACTAGGTGATTGGATCAACGAGCCCAGGCGGAGACCTACCGGCTGCACCAAAGCACTTATTTTTTGGACCAGTTTTGAGCGACCTACAAGCCATTTACCCCGCCACCCAAATCAGGCAAAGCACCATGGTGCCATCCACACAGCCATGGATGCACCCAAGGCCGCATGGATGGCACCATGGTCATGGGTTGTGTGACACCCATGGTACCATCCACAATTTGTGGATAGTACCACCCCCCATGGGTGATACCATGCATTTGGTACCTCTTAGGCCCAGGGTTCCGTGGTTCCGATTAAGCCTAACAGGTACCAGGTAGGGGTAGCCTGAGGTGTCAAGACTTCAAATGGTTCAAGCTTCACTGCACTGGAAGCTCTAGGTCTTCTTCTTGCACGGTTCAAATCTTCTGGTGATGTTAATGAGCTGGTAATGAAGTATAATCGAAGTCAAGCTGCAATCAGCGAGGTGGTCAACGAGCTTGTTGTCTTTCTCGATGACCATTGGGAGCACCTGCTAGACTTCGATACAGAAGGTGTTCTGGCACCTGAGCGGATGGAGGAATATGCAGCAGCAATCCATGCTGTTGGCGCTCCGCTATCTTCTGTCTGGGGCTTTATTGATTGCACCATTCGGCCAATCTGCCATCCAAGCCAATACCAGCGGGCTGTTTACAACGGCCACAAAAAGGTCCATGCACTCAAGTTTCAGGCAGTGAAACTTCCCAATGGACACATTGGATATTTATATGGTCCAATCGAGGGCCGCCGGAATGATAACACCCTTCTTCAACAGTCAGATCTCCTCAATAAATGCTACCAGCATGCAATCAAACCCGGGACAGACCAAAACACACCACGGGAGCAGCGATACTTCCAGTTGTTTGGTGATCCAGCCTATGGCATCAGTCCGGTTCTCCTCTCCCCTTATGCCCATGCGGGACAACGAACACAAGCCGAAGATGAGTGGAATGCAGAAATGGCAGCTGTGCGCATTGAAGTTGAGCATGGCTTTGGAGATGTTACAAGGCATTGGCCTTTTCTGAATGCCTGGTGGAAGCATCGTGTATACTCATCCCCTGTTGGCCGCTACTACCGCATTGGAGTTCTCCTTACTAATGCACTCAACTGTCTGCGGCCTAACCAAACTGCTCAATACTTCAACTGCGAACCCCCTGTATTGGAAGAATACTTTCATATTTAGCACGAAAACATCTACGTAAAACAAATCTATTTATTCGCTGGAACTTGATGATTGCTCCTTCACATCGGAACCCAAAAGTGTCTTCGCAAGGAGCTCAAATTGACGGTCTCGAGTTTGAACCTCCACCTCCCGTTGCTTCATTGCCAATTCCCATCTCTGCATGTTTCACGCACTCTCCTCCCGCATGAATTGAAGCAAATCGGTGGTAGAACCAGATAATGAACGGCGGTCTGCACCTCGGCGTCGTGCTGTCGAGTAGTTCTTCTTCTTAGCCGGTTTAATCTCAATATCTTCTTCACTGTCCGAGCCTCTGCTCTTGCGTTTGCGACTAGCTTTGCCCTTGAGTGGTACAACACCCATATCATCATCTGAATCTGACGAGATGTCCAGTGTCGCTGACAATGATGTCGCTTTCGATGACGGAGATGTTAAGTCAAGTGATTCAGATAAGGCAGGCGTCTTGACGTCTCCATTTTTTGGGTCATCGAGAGTCGGAGGGGACTGTGCTGATTTGTGTGCATCGGAAAATGTGAGAATTGGTGGAAGGTCATCGTCATCATCGTTGTTGAGTGGGGGTAATGCATAGGAGGACGACAAAGTCGTGGGATGTGTTGCGGAAAACTTGCCCTTAGTTGATGATAGGGCAGGCTGTAGATCGGGAGTATTGATGTGCTTGCGAACCGTTTTCATCGACTGCTGACGAATGAAGTCACCTTCACGCTTCTCTTGATCACGTTTCTAATAATGGTCAGCTTCATGTCGTTGGACTTGGCGGAAACACTAACCTTTTTCAAAACCGCCAATGCTGAATCAGACTTGCCTTTGGCCTCGGATTTCTTGGCCATCAATCCCTCGAGCACACCAGCCAGCATAAGCGCAGCAGAGGAGCCTTGCTTGATTAGCTGCGGGTTTTTACCCTGTTGTATGGGTGAGCATACCTGACACAATTTAAAATCAAACAAAATACCTCCTTGTATGCGTAGAGTAAATTTAACTTGGTTTGAAGATAAGGGATAGTCAGCTTCTTACGAAAGCCGGTTTCCTCGAGCTGCTGGATGACCTGAGTCCATACTGGCCCTCGCTGATGCTGTGGAGTAAGGTATGGGTTGATGTCATTGGTAGCTCGCGCAATTGCAAGGTAGTCGTCGCCTGTCCAGCGGGAAGTCGGCCCTTCTCCTTCCTCCTCATTCTCATTCTCGTTCTTGCCCCGACCCTTCTTAGCAGTGGAAGCCTTGGTACCCGAAGTCTTTTGGGCAGTCTGTAAGCTGGTAATCAGTAGTATGATCAGGAAAATGTGCCGCACACACCCCAACATTTGCCAAGTTTTGCGGCCCAAGTGGTTGCACCGCAAAAATAGCACCTTGGGGCTGTGGTTCAATGTCAAGGCCATAGTAGTTGTATGGAGGGGGCTCTGGGCGGTCTTCGACAGGAGGAGAGTCAAAAAAAGAACGGCTCTGAAACTACATCAGTAAAGAGCAAAAAGACCAGCAACGACTACCATCATAACCTCCCATGAGTTTCATGCTATCTGGGAGGTAGAGCTGACCCGGGGTTGGAGGTGATGCAGTGCTTTTCGTCTGTTCCAAGTTGATGTCAGGCAGGTTGGGAAGTAAAAAGTCGGTGCGAAGTGAAACAGGGCCGGGATCGTTATCGAGGAGGGGGAAACGATCCGAGACCTCAGAAAAGTGGAGGGAGGGAGGGGTGAGCTTTGTTTGAAGATCTTGGTCGAACATGGTTGTGTTTTAGGGGATGTAAACGCGCTGCCCCGCTGTACTTATAGCGCAAGCTTGAGGGTGAGTGGAGCCATCATCAGCTTGCTTGTGTCTCCAGACAACGAGTGGGCCTCTTGTGGGGCCAATGTGGTTGCCTTTGCCAATTTAAGGCTGGCTGGATTGGTGCCTGGAGGCTGCTAGATGCGCTGGGAACATGCACACGAAAAGAAACGCGTTGACGCGATGACGTAACGATGTCACACGATGGCGTAACGATGTCACACGATATGATTCCATCAACTTTGTCATCAAAAACTCGATTTTTGGATTCACACAAGGATTTGTGTATATAAAACAGGTTTAAAAGCCGCAACTAATATGCTCTATTGAACACTATTATTTCAAGCGCAAGCATCTTCGATTTGTAACTTCCAGACATTACTACCTACGACATTATGTATCGGCAGTGATGGACCCAAGGTCTCTAGGGCCCTATCTGGTAAGGGCCCTAGAAGCCCTAGAATAGGGCCCTGCACCCCAGCCAGTCATGGCTAGGGCCCTAGGTATGGCCCTATCCCTTATCTTATCTAATGATTAAAATTCAATCAATGTTATCAAAAATGATTTAGTGCTCTTGAATAAGACAGTCCTGTTCCTATATGGGTGTCTAATACCTATATAGCTTCCCAGACTAAACAAAAAGCTATATAAATATTACCAACTGTCTGTTACTCAGTTAATGTGTCACATAAATCATACTTTAGGGCAGAATAGTATTGCAGACAGCTGTTAAGTGCCGTGTCGACCAGAGGGACGGAGACGGAGACGGAGACGGAGTCGAAGTCGGAAACGGAATCGGAAGTCGTAGAGCACTTGGGGCGGAACACCACAGAAGGATGTTTGGGTGACCGGGGCTTCCAGTTGACCAAGACAAGACAAGAAGGGGAGAGCGGAGTCGAGATGACGCTGGGAGATAAAGACCAGCAACGTTAATTTACAAACTGAAGTACGTGATAATACATCAAAGTATTTATAGTACGAGAAGTAACGGAAACGGAATAAGGTATAACAAAGTAAGTAACAAGATTAGAACAAAGTCAAGTAAAGTAGAAGAGGAGTTGCATACGAGGAACAAGGCATAGATGATTGCATAGATCATAAGTCGGAGTAATTGGAAACGCTTAGTAAATCTTCATTGCGTAAAAACCAAATACCGGAGACGGATATCGGAGACGGATGCCGGAGTCGGCACGGATATAACAGTATCCCCCTCTTGCGTTTCTTGCCTACAAGAAACACCCGTAGGTGTAAGATTTAGCCTAGGGTCTAGGAATAGCTAGAATAGCAGTAGCCTAAAACTCTAGGAAGACTTTTCCCAGCCAAGAAAGACTTTAAAAATGGGGTATTAATACATCAAATTGATAGATTTGATGCTAAAAATACTATATATAGTAATGTTAACTCCTTTTCTTCAGGCCGATGACCCAGTATATAGTGGGGAAGGCCTGTGTTCAGGATTATCCTAATTGGGACCAAAATGATATAGCTTGACACAGTGATCAAAACTACTGATGGCCATCAAAAATCGTTCCACATCAATAATATATATCAAGGATCACCATCCCCATCAAAATTAAGGCAATATAAAGGCAGAAAATAAATAAATAAAAAATAATATTACAGTAATTATGCTGCTAAAACATAGGGACTAGGAATACCTAGATTTCTAGGCTACCGCTATTCTAGCTATTCCTAGAGTCTTTTAGCCTAAATATTACCACTACGGCTCCAAGAAACAGGAGCAATGGTCGTAGAGGTAGGAGTTGGAATCAGAGAGAGTCGGAGTCAGAGTTGGACTTGTGAAAATTTTGAGTCGAAGGCCGGAAAGGCCGAGATCACCGAGGAAGCCGGTGAGAACGTGATAATAGCAAGGAGGACGAAAAAGGAAAGGGGTGACAAGAAGCACGTCACCGATTGACATCAATCTCTCTAACTTGTCCACTTCCCACCATGCCACCCAAACGCCAGAACGCCAAAAACCCCAAGAAGAGCAAGAATCTCTTTGCGAAGGCGGTGGATCAAGTCGAGGAGTTGTCGGAGACGGAGAGGGTTGGTGGCTGGGTTGGGGGAACGGATAGGGACCCCTTGGCTGACATGTTACCGTCGGGTCGTAACCGACGCGTAGATGTGCGGAGGGAGTTAGAGGAGTTGGACCGCAGAGCGGAGACGCTGCGTGCGTTACTCAGCTGGAACACCTGGTGCAATGCGCAACATCTTGGTTATAACCCAAAAGTGCAATGCACAACATATGGGATCTAACCCAGTCTCCTGCAACGCAAAGATTACTTTATTTCATTTTTATCTCTTTTGACTGTTTTAGTGTCTTATATCATATATATAGTGATGGGATCAATGTTCCTTGTGTAATCTATTGTGTGTGGAACCATTTTTGTAAGAGATCACTGATTTTGATGACTGTGTGATCTTGCATCACTCCCACTCAATTTAATATTGATATTCTCTTTCTGCTCTATTAAGTCCATAATATTACATATCGAATCATTGGCCTGAAGAAAAGGTGATTTACCTTCTTATATATGACCTTATATTAGTCATATCATCTTCCCTTAATATAATATACCAAGATATAAGAATAGCCCACATGTTGTGCATTGCACTTTTGGGCTATAACCCAGATGCTGCACATTGCACTAGCTACAAGAGGTGCGTTACTGGCGGAGACGGCTCCAAGAGCACCGTCACCGGGTGGTCGGTCGGAGTCATATGATCCCGACGACCCGGTTGACAACGAACCGATCAACGAGGAGTCATCAGAACACGGCTCCGTGGTGGCTCCCATAGTGTGGACACCAGCAGACCACGATGCGCTGCTAGAAATGGTGGTAGAGCACCATCGTAGTCGAGCCGAAGACCAGCAGGCGGCCAGATCCCAAGGCCAGAAGAGTGAGGCCGAGGGCAAGAAAAAGGAGGCAGAAGAGGCCGAGCGCAAGGCCGAGAAGGATAGGCGGAAGGCCAAGTTGGCCAGAGAGCGGGTCCGAGCTCACCGCGAACGCGGACTCGCGCCACTGACGCTTGCCGAGACGGCCGAGGCCAATGCCCGAGTTGGCCGCCGAATCATGCGACACGTCGAGTCATCCGCGGAGCCCGAGCCGGCTAGTATAGCCGAAGAACCCAAGAAGGCGGGGAGACCCGAAAACGCCGAGAGCGCCGATAAGGCCCAGACTGCCAAGACCGATGCGGAAGGCAATGAAGATGGCGAAAGTAAGT